GGTCGATCCATCATGACACTGACACGCGCGCCATGCCGTTTTTCCCGAAGAGACTGTCTCTTGTTGAAGATTTTCGGACGTTCAGGCTTTGGCGAAGCTCCATGGGAGGCTGTAATCATTATTTATATGTGCGATGACACGAAGGATATTAAGCCAGATGGTTACTCACTGGTTCTCTTGAGGGGTTCGCCATCTGCGAGAAGTCGGGGAAATCCGCTGATCGGAAAACCAGACTGCCCGTATCGCGTGGTGCGGTGGTCAGTCAGATGCAGATCAATCGACACGGCTGCACTCTCCGAAGCAACTGGTATGACGATCGAGTCCAGTCTAAACAAACCTCTCTCTGTCATGTCACGAATGGTATGCCTTGTGACTGGTATAGATTGAGCCCCTTCGACGTGCATGGCTTCTTGTATACGAAAGAACGGCTGGAAGTGAGGCAATTGGTGCTTGCGTATGTAGTCACCCAAGTCCCGAAGATTATTGGAACCTGCAGCGAATCTGCATTGGATGTTGCCTTTCAATCATTAGTCAGTCATTTTGATAGATAGAACAAACTCACCCTGCACAATGATATGGTCGTCGGTGGGCCTGGAAGGGCAAGATCTCTCGAAGTAAAATGAACTAGCTACGAGTCGTTGCGCAACGTTCTTGATCTTTTTCTGCGCGCCAGGTTTGCGAAGACCGGTCTTGATCTCCTCCAGTAGATTATCGATCTGCGACTTGTCGTCCATCTTGGGTATCCGACTCATGGTCTTTGGGTTGAAACGAATGTATCGCTCGGCTGCAGCGTACGGGGCCATCCCTACCACGTCTTTACGGAACTCTTTCCATGTGGCTTCCGCATCCAAAGCACTTTCAACCCGTTGTTTGAAGATAGTAAGCCACGATTCGACTTCGGGAAATGCTCTCAGTACAGGCATAGATCGTCTCAAGCGTGGCGTATCCTTCACCTGGCTGAATATCTTCCGAATCTGGAATCGCCTGCTATCGTAACGTGAGGCATTCAGAGAATTGTCGGAATCTGCGCCGTGTTGACCAGTTCCTATGGACAAAAGAAGATCAGGAGGTCGCTGATCGGCATCAGGCCAAAGAAGCTTGCTTTCATAATTGGCGATGCGAACTGGGTTGTTGTGAAAGACAGCACCGTCCACATAACCCTCCATTGTACGTGCGTTTCTGAAAGGCTTGAAGTATGTCGGAGCTGCAGAGGTTGCTCGTGCAGCTTCTCTGATCAAGACATCATTCTTTGGATCATCGGGTCGGACCAACTGGTAGCCAATTTGCTCGTCCTCTGCGCGATTGTAGTTTGTAAATATGACTGCTTGTTCCGCAGTCTCCGTTGCAGAGGTAACAGCGACTTTGCACGCGCTAGCAACTGGAGTGTCACGTTGCCCACCAAACATGGCCTCATCCTTGAAACACTCCTTGAAAGCTTCTTCTAGAGGTTTTGTATGGTATTTGTTAGTTCCCAGGCTTACCCCTCCAAAGAACTTGGGTGTAAACGCCTTCTCCACCATTCTGAGAAAGAGTTGACTGCATTGGTCTACAGACCAATTTTTGACACCAAGACCGAGCGCCAAGATACCCCCGGTACTGGTGCCAACGATGAGGTCAAAGAATTCTTGGACTTTGATATGATCACCTAGCTCCTGTTGTATTTGGCGAAGGACTTCCAGGATGACTATCCCTCGTATACCACCTCCGTCAAGAGACAGAATCCGTAGGCCTGCCAGTGGAGGCTTGAAGTAGATCTCTACTGGTGTAGGAAAGACAGCTTGGTGATCGTGCAGCGGACATGTGGCGATAGTGAAAGATCCTGAGAGTTCCCGATGTGGGCTGCCGTAACCTTTGACACACGCTGTGCAAAGCACGTGTCCGCAAGGCAAGGGATGCTCGGCTAGTTCCCTTAAACAACAGAAACAGGTAGTGTGGCTGACGAAGTTCTTTGCGCCCCCCATGTGGTTATAGAAGCCGGTAACGTTGGCCAAGTGGAGTTTGTTGACCGCATCCTCCTCAGTTGTTGGAGACTTCGTCATTTGCAAATCAAGCTTTGACTTGTTTTCGATCAGGTAATGCTTTAGGTATTCGAACCAGTCTTCATAGAACTTGTCAAATGTGAAGTCTGACTCATAGGGGCCAGATCCAATGACGCTGCCTCTTTGGTTTTGGTGTCCTTTCACATGTCGCTCCTTTACATTGACACATCGTTCACCTCTTCTGTTGATGAAAGAACACGGCCAGAAGATAGCGCAAAAGTCGTCAAGAGCGCCATCACAGTGCGTCATGTATTGTGTTTCCAAAATCTGCTCTGCAGATCCTTTGAGATCCTGTCGAACGCAGTCCAAAAGTATACAAGAGGTCACCATGTGGCTCAGTTCCTTGAAGATCTTCCTGGGGTCGTCGAATTGAGCTTTCATTGCAACGGCCAACTTCAAGACATGACCTCCAAAGTCTTGAGGTATCGGGTTGATCTTGAAGGAAATGTCCATGAAGTCGAATGGTGAATGAAGGTCCTGCGAGAAATGGTCGAATGCACATTGTAGATAGACATTGAGGTTGTCGGAATTGGAAAGCATGCGCGACCGTCGTTTGGCGTTGAATGACTCCAGGCATCGGTGTGTGACGACTTGGTGAAGCTTCGTTACCTGTTGATCAATCATCATATATCGGCCTTCGCCAGGGATCCGTACAACTGTGATCGAAGAGTAGTAACACTCAAGGAGATCCTTCATAGTTCGAATACGTCTGCCTCTTCCAACCCAATAATCTCGCCGCTCACGATATGCTGGATCGCGACTGATAGCTCCGGCGACGTTGGACATAAGAAGCTCTGTCGCGTACTCAGGATCCCACTCCTCCTGATCCACTTTTGTGTCGGTTGCGTTGAGTGCAATGACAGCGTGCGGGAGTGTAGGCTGGTTCACTGACTTCTCAAAGGAAGAGTCCGCCCATTTGATAAGCAATCCCAACACTGTAGATTCAAAGGTTTTTGCATTGCGCAGAACGAACACGATGACATCGGAGAATGTGTACAGAAGGCGAGGGTAGAGTTCCGTAACAGCGTATTGTCGTTTTGATTTATCAGGAGAGTTCGCCCATTTGATGTCTCTCTGGGTGCTATGCAAGCTTTTGGTGACTTTGCGGCGTTTTCGGTGCTCGCCCAATGCGACATCCTCCCTCCCTTTCTCTTTCTGTGGTGCTGTCGCACTACTTCGATATTGCGCAGCCATCGGGGTATTTTCGCCACCCTCCAGACCTTCGCAATCGGCGTAGAGTAACGGGTACTCGGTATTGTATGTGCTTGGATCGCTGTACAAGTGTACGTCACCGGAAGTGGGTACGTTGCTGTTTGCTGATGTTCCTGCGACAGGTGACGGGAGACTCCAGTTCCTTGGCTGGCTCATACGTTCTTGTTGATCGATGAGCATCTTGATAAGTGTACTCTTGCCTGCTCCGGTCTGACCAATGAAAGATACAAGTTGCGGGAAACGGTACTTGTATTCGCCAGAGTTACTATCCGCCATGATGGCAGAGTAACGACCATAGTCCTGGAAGGCAGGCGAGTTTTGACTATTGCGCACCATTCCAAACCACGTTGTATCCTCGTCTTCGATGTGTAATATCTGCTGCTCTCTATGCTCTCGAGGAGGAGTCAAAATGTCTCGCAGCCTCTTGACAACAGTTGGGTTCGCCTTCTCATGCGGAAGACCATCAGGCCCAGTGCGTCCCGCTTTGTGGGGGCCCTGTTTCCCCCAGCAGTCGTCGCAAAAGTTCATGTCGCAATATGAACAATCCCATACAGGAGATTTTTCAACCTCGCAACTCTCGCACAGCCGTAGCGGAGATTCATCGACGGTGACCTCAGATCGATCGCGTGAGAGCGCATGCGATGGATCCAAGGTAGGCTTTGGTCCATCCCGAAAGACACCGGTAGAGAACGATCCTCGAGGCCGACCGGTGCTCTTGGAAGATTCTGACCTGGATGTTTTGACTACAGGAATCTCTGGCGTATATGATGGCGGCCGTGAAATCATCGGATCGGCTGCTCTTCGGTAGGGACTCGACATATCGTCTAGACAGCCTCGCAAACCTCGTAGTTCAATGGCAAATGGTCGAAACGGGCGCGCGATGTTCCTCAGTAGGAAGAAAGGTGCGGAACTCCTCTCACCTAGTTGGTTTACGCGAGGCTAGATTCCAGCCTGATCTGTGGATGCATGTATCAGCATACGGATATTGGACGGCTTAGCGTAAGCAGGTCTGAGCCGCAAACCCCACGAATAGTGACCAATGTTGGGAGGACTAGAGCCATCTCCCATAAGCCATGAGAAGCCATCGCTGTTTTTAGACTCTTTGAGCAAAGAGTCACCCATCAGTGACTGCAGCTGATCAATATAAGCGCTCAGCTCATGCAGCCACCAAAGAACTCTAGATTTCGGATAGACGCGAGGCTGAAGTCTCTTCGCCGCCTATAGGCGCCTGGCTGAATATCAGAGAATCTGTTGACAGTACAAAGTAGCATCATTTTAGGGGTTCCATGCCTACTAGTCAATAGCAGCTAGAAGTGATCGGAACGAAGGTTGGGTGATCCGAAATACCTCGCGGGAACGAACGGGACGGGAGGTCAGGGACGGAAGACGGGCATGGCTAGTGCCCGATCCGGCAGCTGAAGCGGCAGAGAAATACCCACTGATGAAGCGAAATTTATCAGGCTGTCCATGTCCGGCGAATTGGGTATGCGGCAGATGGATGATGTGGGAGGGGGCGGACTCTGACCCAAAAGCAGGCTGAAAAAGGTGGGATTATGCGAAGCCGGGGTATAGGGTGCCTCAGCTGATGCGAAAGAGAACCTGGACAGGATTGATGCTTTGGTAGTGGAATATTGAAGGTGGATTTCTACGTGATTGAACATGTACTATGGGTCGTCATTGCACGCGCTTTGGAAGTGACATCATACGCGCCAGTTCGCGCCATTCCGCGTCGCGGTGGTCCAAGCTCCATCACAGCCATCCCACCCTCCTTCCGATGATGCTCACACCCCCAAGCGCAGCGCTAACCCCCGTCCACACCACCAAACTGCCATATTGCGTCCCATACAATCCATGCTCACCAAGAGTTCCCGTCTTAATCAATGCCTCGCTGATAGGCCCACTGACAATATTCCCAATACCTCTACCCATACACAAGAACGAGAAGACCATGGAGCTCTCCATCTGTCCCGTACTTGTTTGCACTGCTCTCATGATGCCAGGCCAAGTATTCGCGAAGCTGCCTGCGAAAAGTCCGTATGTGAAGCAGAAGATCAGCAACGGCGGTAGAGACGTGCTGAAGCCCCAGATTAGGAAAGTGGAGATCATGGCACCGATGGTGGAAATGAGGATGGCGGTGGTGACGTGTGTGCGATCGATGATGCTTCCCATACTAACGGATCCGATGACAGCGGCGACATTGAGGAGAATGAGAGGAACGGCGGAGACTGTGCTGCTGAATCCCAGTGCTTTGGTGTATGTAGGCAGGTCTTCATGTTGGAGCACAAAGTCAACGTACTTCGCGAGTGAAGTTCGTATAGACACTTACAGATGGATGGTACAAAGAATCCCAAGCCCTGCAAGATGTTGCCAGACTGCAGAACCCAAAAGGTCTTGTTTGTGAGGAAAGTGAAAGTAATTCCACACCTAGTAGTTGCCGAGACAGGCAGCCGTGGTTTGATAAAGATTGTGACGGGTAGAAGAACTGCGAAGAGTAGGCCTGCCCATATGCGTAGCGTGTTGCGGAAGCCATAGCGATTGAGAAGGAACTGCAGCAACAGCGGAATGACGACGCCGCCAAGTGCTGTACCTGCCCACATGATACCAAATGCGAGACCTTTGCGTCTTACAAACCATTCATCCAAGAGTATGATACAAGGACAGTACACTATTGCGCCGCCAACACCATAAAAGATCCCTTGAGTGACGATGAGTTGCGGTACGGTCGTGCACAGAGAGCTCAGCCCAAGCGAAAGGCACATGGTGAATACACCAGCGACCATGGCCTTCCTTCTGTACTGCGGCCAGCGGGTGAACAAACCAAAGGTCAATGGTGCGATCATGTACAGAATACCCATCGCTGAGGTGCCGATAGCTGGGATACCAGACGAACCAGCGAATTCCGGGGATGAACTATAGTACTCTTGGAAGATGCCATACGACCATGGAAAACCTGTTGGTTACATTAGCAAAAGTTTCAAGTTAGGTGTTAATATGGAAGGATTGCTTTGGAAGAGATGCAGTTATGATAATACTACAAGGGCAAAGGCGTAGTCAATGAAACACTTCACACTCACCCCATACCATCATCTCCACCATAAAGCCAGCCGCAACAAACAACCACGCATCTTTCCCGCCATCAGTCGGCGGTAGCAAAGACTCGTTCTCGTTCACGGGCTGCTCGTTCCATCGTTGGCTTGATTCAAGCTCAAATTCCGATTGGTTGTCGGGCGTGGTGCCGGTGCTTGTAAGGGCCGATTGAGTTCTAGTCTCCATGATGAGTGTTGAACGTAGATATCGTCAGAATGCTGCTCTAGAAAACATCCACAGAGGGCTTCAATTATATAGCAATCCATTCTGCGCTGATGCTGTATGATATCAACGATAAATGCATAGCAATTTGTTGACCGCAGGGTCCTCCGACCCAGATCGTGCCCAACATGCCAATAAAGATGTGCTGTTCAGCTCTAACACAGGAAGAGAAAAGCGATCCCTTCTCGAAAGCGGGGCATGGCAGACTGGTAGAGATGTCATAATTTGGAAAGAGTGCATGGCGCTGATTTCAAAGCGCTTTCGGAGTGGGCGACGCAGCGCACATGGAACTCCGAGAGGCGCCGGAGTTCGGCATAGAGTGCTCCAGTAGCTCATCGGTATCGCAACGGAGTCGGAGGCGACATCGCACAGCTGAACACGCGCGTTTGATGGGGAAAAAATTGATGAGAAATCTGTTCACGGTTTTCGCGCCTGATGTCTGATGATGCAGATCGCATTGGTTAAGCGCTAACTGTCCTTTGGTCGTAGCTCCCGCCGTATCCATGTAGGCGAGAACGGCACCTTCCCATGTCCGGACGTAATGTCCTACGCTTTCTCGGGCTCATCCAACAAGTAGCCATCCCTCCTACCCAGCACATCCTCGACGGTCTCGTCTGTGAATTTCAAGTCCTCCTCAAGCGGCACCGTGTCTTTGATCTTCAGCAGCATCACTGGCAGCGCGACGATCAAACTTCCAGCCAACAACACCCAACTGGATAGGAATATGTCCATGTAAGGCCTCTTGTAGCCGTCTAGGCGGAACACGATAGCTGCGCCAGCTGATTGAATGCCCTTGTAAAAGCCAGCAAAGTTGGCGAGCTTTCGACTGTTGTTCGAGATTGCGCCCATGAACCTGAGGGCTGTTAGCAGAGAGCATGCCAATGGAAAGACAGTCTTACCAGTACACGCATGTCTGCCATGCCGCGTCGTAGAAGCCGTAGCTGATGTACAACACCATCGGGCCGCCTGCAGAGGTAGAGATAAAAAGTCAGTACATGTCTCACGTGCATTTCGCACATGACTTTTACGTACCATACCCGCCGTCTGTCCAATCGAAGTGGTGGCTATCATCGTCGCGACGATACCGTCGTTGGAATACGTACCCTCCTCCCCAAACGGCGAAGGTCAACAATAGCATGACTACCCAGGCAATCTTCGCCCTGGTAGTCCTTCTGACGTTCGGGAAATCCAGTGCAAATCCAAACACACCAGCTCCGAGTATCTGCGCCAACCAATAAAGCGCATTGTTGAGTGCGCGCGTTCGCACATTGAAACGTGCGTAGTTGACGTCGTTAAACTGGTACGTGTAGAACCAATTCGAAGCGAAGAACATCGGAAAGAGGAGTATGATATACGGATCCGTACGCAGAGTCTCCCAAAGACCCAGGATCTCGGACTGCCAAGTTGGGTGTTTCATCATGATAATTCGGCTGCCGTCGCGTCGTATGACGTGTTTGGCATCAATGAGTGTCCAGGAGAGGCAGGCGCCGAGGAATGTGAGGACCATAAAGCCGATGTATGTCTGGTCAGTGACAGCTGCTGGCCCGTCTGCGTTTTGTGTATCAAAGTTCAGCCCAAGCTGGACCAGGCTACCAATAACAGCACCCATGTTGAAGATGCTATCATAAGAAATTAGCTTATCTCGGTACGGTCCGTACAGCGACACCTACATCCAGAATAAAGAGATATACCGCCCCTTCTGCTTCTCTGGCGGATAACTCATCCTGCAGAGGTACGAAGTCAGTATATGTCTCACATACTCTTCATAAGTCAGCTTACATTATGGCACCTTGCGCCGACCACAGTATGCCAGCGCAACATCCTAACAAGAACCCAGAAAAGACCACGTAGCCCAAGTTCTGAGTTTTGTTGAAGCAAAGCAATGCACTGACGTAAACGCAATACCCCAGACCGCCGAAGGAAAGCGCAACTCGAATACCGAGGACATTGGTGATAGTGCCAGCGAAGAAACCGACGATTGCAAAGGTAGCATAAAGTGTAGTATTCGCAGCGTTGCTGGCATGTGCATCATCGTCGAGACCTGCGGCTCCGATACCATTGACGGCGTTGAACATGCCTGTGTAGAGTTAGTAAACTGTGCGTTACTACGATCGTGTGCTGCCTACCGGGACACAAGAAGCAGACAAATGAGACTAATATCAATTGCGATTCTGGCGATGCATAGCATGGAAGCTTGATGGGTCCGATTCTCAAGCTGCGGTATTTCCATCCTTTCGGTCTTTCGAAATCTCCATGGTCGCCGTTACTGACAGGCGCTCTTGCGCTTGCCCACCCAGAGTCGTCGGTTTTCGCCATTGGTGCTCGTATAACTGACGGGGCGTCTCGTGGGACTTGAGCCTTGTGTTCAAGCAATTAATCGGCGAGCTGCAAGTGGGGATGCTGTAGATGGAAAAACGGGATGATGTTGATTCTACCGTGCGAACCTGAAACGACGAGACAAAGGAAGGATTCAGAATGCGGGTCAGGCTGGTCTGTTCGTCTTAGTAGCTGTTGCTGGATCGCTCACGTACGATGGGGCCAGTTGAGTCCGATCTGCGGACGTGCATGCAGTCGTGCTTTTCGATAGATGGACTGATTGGCGCAGTGCATGATTGTGGCAGCGCAGTCTCGCTATCTTTGTCTCACCAGCTGTGTTACCACACCCTTCTTTATGCAGAGTGCCCAATTCTGGGGGTGGAAGCTATCCATGCTTGGTATCGTCAGAATGCTGAAGTCCTACTTAATCTCAAAATGCTGTCCTCTGGTCGATATATTTCTGTTTGGTGCACTAAGATCGGTTACACGAGCAAGGCTCGATCGGAAGCTCACTTTGCGCAGCTCAGCCCGTCGCGTAAGACTGCTATGTGCGGCGCGCCTATGTAAGCCCGTGGCGTACCCCAACGCCAAATTGTGAACGCAACCTGCGTCCACAGAGATGGCTCCGCCCACTGCGGAGATAGAGCCAAGACATGCAAAGTACCACTGCGAGTCGCAACACGTATCAGCCCAGTAAGCTGGAAGGTCCATGTGCTCGGAATGAGGTGCGGAGGTCAAAATGGACGCATTGGGATATGTTTCGGCCCCATCATCTTGCTCGTACGTCTACGCCTCTTTCCATCACATTCGCAAAGCCCTTCGTGAGAGATATGTGACAGGCGTATCATGGCGCGCATCGACCAATAGGGATAGTTGTGTTCGGCCCTTGGTCGAAGTGCACAAGCAAGGGCATTGCGAAACCAATAACCCCGCCGGCCCCAATGGTATAGACTTTCAATATTTCTTCCATGTGTCTATTGGACGGCAAAGTTCAAGATCGGCGTCGCTGTGTACTCCAGCGTTGAGTAGTTCTCCCGGTCAGGCTCACCGCATGATCTACTGCTCCATGGCGTAAGCCACGACCTGTGTAGCTATCGGTACTTTTCACGTCACACTGCATAGCATAGCGTCTGCGCAGCCAGCAATTTGATTTCTCCTGGGCCTCACACCCATCGCAATGCAAATATCGACCATCTGCGATGGAGAGAGTTGCAACCACACCGGCGGATGCATCTTCCGCAGTTTCGGTTCTGAACAAAACGGCTTGGGCGTTGTTTGTATCTCTTTCCGAACTCAACCTGGACGCGAAACATTGCGATGCATCCCTTGACAATCTTGTGGGGGAGGTGAAGTCGCTTGGGAATGAGTGTTACCAGATTCACCTCAAACTGGCAGAAGTCGCAAGCAAGACCAAGACAGGGTCACCTCCACCCTATGATGGAGATGGTCGAATGTGGAGTTGCCTGGCAACTCAGGTCGAGGATGCAAGTCAGACTATAGATAGCCTGAACTCATTCGTCAGCGCTGTCAGGATGGAAGAGGCCGAAGAGGCCAGCGTTGTGTTCCAGCCGCAACGCCTTGTCGAGCTGCACAACAATAAGGAGCAGATTGAAGAAATGGGAGCCGCTGTACACAGACACAGCGACAATCTGAGAACTACGTTACTTCTGATTCAGGCGTAGGTCCTTCCTTGCACCAAAATTGTTTTCAACCGCTGAATCGTCTCCCAGGGTCCTCTCCTATATTGCGCCTATTCAGGCCGAACGACGTCCTGCACCTGACGTCATGAAGCTTCAACAAATGGTTAAGAAGCTACAACGATCATCCCAGGTCGGTCCGCCATGGCGGTATTCTCATACGGAGGCTACGTTGATGCAGTATGCGCAAGAGGTTATCGTGAAAGGAATGAATACTCCGGAAGCCAACCCACGGGAAGACATTATAGCTCAGACTTCACCCAAGGTCTCTAGCGATAGCGATCGTCTGCCATGGATGAAGGCTATCCAAGCAATACGAGAAGATCGAAAGGAGTCGGTGCCAACAAAGAGCCCTAGGAGAGCTCTCAGTGTCTTGCGAGGTGCGGCTCCACTTCAAGGTGTACAAGAGCGTGAGACATCCGACTCGGACGATGATCTGGACACCGACTTCGCGAAAGCGGCCTTGAGCACAGGCTCGCAAGCCTTCGATTCCGGAAGTTGGGACGAGGCGGACTCTCTACTCCAAGAAGCACTCAGAATATTGCAAGGGCTGTCAACGCGCCAACGCGCATTCTGTGACGTGTTCAGCCTCTTCTACAGGCTTGCAGTCTGCGCCTACCACGTTCAGGAACCTGTAGATGCGGCAAAAGCTCTGATCGGATTTGTCAATCAGCCAGCAGACTCTGATCAGCAACGTGAATGCATTCACAACGCGACGCACTTGCTGTCTCAGTTATATGTCCGAATGAGGCAACTCGACCGTGCACGAGCCGAATGCGAGAAGGCCTTACAAGCAAGAAGACGATTACTGGGAAAACGGCATGCTTCGTCTTTGGAGTCCTTGGCTCTTATGGCTCACATTTACGTCTTGCTCAATAACCGTGCGCTTGCGAAATCCTGCCTTGCCATGATACCGGAGGCAAACCGAGAAGCCTCTTTGAAGGCAGTCGA